TTTAAAACAAAATATAACAACAACAAAAGGCCTTACGTTTAAGTAAAACCTCCCATTTCAGAGCCCATAGATTTCACAATTATGAATAAGGGATTGGAGACCTGCATTCGGCCCAAGTTTTAAGAAAATATAGATAAGTTGAAGGAGAACAGTAGAGCCCTGGATTCAAGTTCCAGCTCTCCTCCATGTAAAGCAAGTTGTTTAGCACCTATGCATCTGAGTACTCTTCCCTGTAAAGGGAAAGAAAGGTATCTATCGACCAGGAGTAGGCTGGAAACCACAGGCACAGGTTGAAAGGTCCTTGGACCAAGTTAAGCACCGGGCAGTGGATAACCAATTGTTTCGGCATGCCTGGGACTTCCCTAGATTTAGTATTGATAATCTCACATCCTGGAAACCTACCTAGCAGTTACTCATGAATGGGACCTATTCTAATACAAAGAACAGAAATTAAATTAAGTTGAAAATATATAGTGGAAAAAAAAAATCACTCAAAATACTTCCAATGGTTAAACAGTCAGACTACTATCTATAGATTATAATCTTACCACCTAACCTCACATACCTAGTACACACTCCTCTTCTTCCCTGGAGTGGAGGTAGGCACAGCCAACTCAAGGAGCCCTTCTTCAGAAAGTCAGAAAGACTGCAAGCTATGGCAGATGCCCTCCTGCTGGCCCTAAAGAATCACCATGGCAGGACCAGTGAGCAGCATTCCCAAGAGTATCAGTCCTATAACCCCAACAAAGTGCATTACACACTAACAGAAAACCATATCTTTTAAGAGAGTATCTACTTCAAATTACAGATATCTATATACATATGTGCATGTGTGCATATACCCACTGTAGTTAAGTATGGAAGTGTCTATAAAACATAATTCCCTGTACTTTTGCTTTTTTTTTTTTTTTTAAATAAGATAAGTTCAAATTCAAAAGAAGGTTCTTAGTAAGTTAAATTCAGGCTGGAAAAACGAATCTCAAAATACTTCTGGTTGCACAACTGAAACTTTCACACATTGCTATGGGGCATAAAATGGTACAACCATCTTGGAAAACTATTTGGCTATTTCTATTAAACCTAAAAGGATGCCAACACTATGATGGAAATTCCATCCTCTGGGTGCCTGGGTCCATGAAAGGACATGCAGTGCCCACAAATGTTCATACCAGCTCAAGTAATAATAGCTGAAAACTGGAAGCAATCCAAATACCCACCAACAGAAGAATGGAACAATTGTGGTATCTTCCTCAGTGGAAAACTAACATCAGGCAAAAATAACAAACACAACAAGGGTGAGTCTCAGATATTTTACTGAATAAAAGAAGCCAGAAAACATATACAGGGAGAATGTAACGCAGAATACAGAGGTATGCCATGGCCTAAATCTATATCTCCACAAAATTCATGTTGAAAACTAATCTCCCTGTGGTGGTGGTATTAAGAGTTATGGCCTTGGGGCTAGGGATGTGGCTCAAGCGGCAGCGCACTCGCCTGGCATGCGTGTGGCCCGGGTTCGATCCTCAGCACCACATACAAACAAAGATGTTGTGTCCGCCGAAAACTAAATAAATAAATTCTCTATCACTCAAAATAAATAAATAAATAAAGAGGTATGGCCTTTAGGAGGTGATCAGGTCATATAGGCTCTGCCTTTAAGAATGAAGTTAGAAAAACAGCATGGTACTGGTACCAAAACAGGCGGGTGGACCAATGGTACAGAATAGAGGACACAGAGACCAATCCACAAAATTACAACTTTCTTATATTTGATAAAGGGGCTAAAAGCATGCAATGGAGGAAGGATAGCATCTTCAACAAATGGTGCTGGGAAAACTGGAAATCCATATGCAACAAAATGAAACTGAATCCCTTTCTCTCACCATGCACAAAAGTTAACTCAAAATGGATCAAAGAGCTTGATATCAAATCAGAGACTCTGCGCCTGATAGAAGAAAAAGTTGGCTCCGATCTACATATTGTGGGGTCGGGCTCCAAATTCCTTAATAGGACGCCCATAGCACAAGAGTTAATAACTAGAATCAACAAATGGGACTTACTCAAACTAAAAAGTTTTTTCTCAGCCAGAGAAACAATAAGAGAGGTAAATAAGGAGCCTACATCCTGGGAACAAATTTTTACTCCTCACACTTCAGATAGAGCCCTAATATCCAGAGTATGTATACAAAGAACTCAAAAAATTAAACAATAAGATAACAAATAACCCAATCAACAAATGGGCCAAAGACCTGAACAGACACTTCTCAGAGGAGGACATACAATCAATCATCAAGTACATGAAAAAATGCTCACCATCTCTAGCAGTCAGAGAAATGCAAATCAAAACCACCCTAAGATACCATCTCACTCCAGTAAGATTGGCAGCCATTATGAAGTCAAACAACAACAAGTGCTGGCGAGGATGTGGGGAAAAGGGTACTGTTGTACATTGCTGGTGGGACTGCAAATTGGTGCAGCCAATTTGGAAAGCAGTATGGAGATTCCTGGGAAAGCTGGGAATGGAACCACCATTTGATTCAGCTATTGCCCTTCTCGGACTATTCCCTGAAGACCTTAAAAGAGCGTACTACAGGGATACTGCCACATCGATGTTCACAGCAGCACAATTCACAATAGCTAGACTATGGAACCAACCCAGATGCCCTTCAATAGATGAATGGATAAAAAAAATGTGGCATTTATACACAATGGAGTATCACGCAGCACTAAAAAATGACAAAATCATGGCATTTGCAGGGAAATGGATGGCATTAGAGCAGATTATGCTAAGTGAAGCTAACCAATCCCTAAAAAAACAAATGCCAAATGTCTTCTTTGATATAATGAGAGCAACTAAGAACAGAGCAGGGAGGAAGAGCAGGAGGAAAAGATTAACATTAAACAGAGACATGAGGTGGGAGGGAAAGAAAGAGAAGGGAAACTGCATGGAAATGGAAGGAGACCCTCATTGTTATACAAAATTACATAAAAGAGGTTGTGAGGGGAAAGGGGAAAAAAAAACAAGGGAGAGAATTAAATTACAGAAAATGGGGTAGAGAGAGAAGATGGGAGGGGAGGGGAGGGGGATAGTAGAGGATAGGAAAGGTAGCAGAATACAACAGTTACTAATATGGCATTATGTAAAAATGTGGATGTGTAACCAATGTGATTCTGTAATCTGTATTTGGGGTAAAAATGGGAGTTCATAACCCACTTGAATCTAATCTATGAAATATGATATGTCAAGAGCTTTGTAATGTTTTGAACAACCAATAAAAAAAAAAAAAGAATGAAGTTAGTGCCCCTGTGAAAGAGGCTTGAAGATGCTTTCCACCCTGGAACTATGTCCAGAGGACACAGAAATAAGGTGCTATCTATGAAACTGAGAGTCAGCCCTCATTAGACACACTTGGTAAACCTCCTGGATCCTTGATCTAGGATTTTCCAACCTTGAGAACTATAAGCACTAATCTATTATTTATAAATTACCCACTCTAAGGTATTTTGTTATAGTGTAAAGTCTGGGACTGACCATCAGGTACCTGTAACAAGTGCTGGAAATGTTCTGTATCTTGATCTAGTTGGGTAACTGAACATATAATTATTGAGATATACACTTAAGATTATTGCACTTTATTGTATGTTATATTACTACAGTCTTAATGTTTGTACCCCCAACCTCAATTTATATGTTAAATCCTAGCCCCCAAGTAATTAGGAGGTAGGTTTAGGAAATGATTATGTCATGAGGGCAGAATCCTCATGAAAAAGACTGGTGCTCTCCTAAGAGGCCCCAGAAACACCCCTACCAGTCTTTTATCAAAAAGGAACTACTAGGGCTGGGGATGTGGCTCAAGCGGTAGCGTGCTCGCCTGGCATGCGTGCGGCCCGGGTTCAATCTTAGCACCACATACAAAGAAAGATGTTGTGTCTGCCGAAAACTAAAAAAAAATAAACACTAAAAAATTCTCTCTCTCTCTCTCTCTCTCTTTCTCTCTCTCTCCCCCTCTTTAAAAAAAAAAAAAAAAAAAAAGGAACTATTATTGTGCAACATAGAAGAGGGCCCCCACCTATTGTGCTCACACCCTCATCTCCAACTTCCAACTTCTGGAACTATGAGAAATAAATTTACACTGTTTATAAGTCACCCAGTCAATGGTATTTTGTTAAGCAGCCTGGATATATACTTTGAAAATATTCTTGCTCCTGAAATTGTTATGGATTCCTCATAAGAAAACACCCAAATAAATTAGTGACTGTGAAGCAGGAACACTGTCAAGGAGCTGTGCAAGTACACATTGCAAGGAAACATCGGACATGGTGTTCTTTTAAACATGGTGCCTGAAACTTAAGCACTCAGTAAATGTTGGTTGAATAAATTTCACAGATAATGTCCCTGTGCTTCAGAATACCAGGGAAAGCTATATATACAAATACACAGCATAATAACCTCAATATAAAAGACCCAAGAGGTGAAAACTATGGCTCTTGTCCAGTAATAACTTCTGTCACCTCCAAGCATATGAAATAAAGTCAGGTGTTAAACCATCACCAGAGAGATGCAGGAGTTAACTGTACAATATAAAAGCAGCACCATTTTTATTTTCACACTGTCAGTTTTGCACAGGGTCGTGGCAGAAAGCAATTCTGTCTAGGTCATGAAAAGGAACATAAGAGATAGAACAGAATCATCTATCCAACACACCCACAGGGCATCATCCAAATGCCTGGACACTTTCAGACAAGCAGCAACCACTCTCAAGACACATAGAGGAGATCAAGAAGTGATCTTTAGGGATAAGTGACCCACAAGGGAAGACACAGGCCACTGTGAACTGAGTCCACCTTGGTACCTTCAAACTGGAACACAGGAAACCAATTTCATGGTGTGAAATCTCACTGGAAGCTACAAAACTGAAGCAAAGGAACTTTCAAGTCTGGGGGACTCGAAAGACTACTGGAAGTAACCAGGCAAAAAGCAAAACAAAACCACAGCTCACCTCACTATTGTGGCCCCGCAAGTTGAAGTTTATCCTCTGTGGAGTACTCCTGTCCCTGCGGCAGTGGCTGGAGGTGAAAGTCACGCCCACCACACCTCGCCCATTGCCAGTGGCCAGCCAGCCTTCCTCATAGTAGCGCCTCCTGCACACGGGCTTCTCCTTCTCACTCTTGGGGACACGCCCCTTCCAGGATAAACAGAGGATGTTGGAGTCACTGCAAAGCACAGGTCCATGTTCCACCGCTGCATACATACTTTTTTCAATGAATTGTTTTACTTAAAAAGTAATGCTTACTTAATGGTGGAAATTTTAAACCAAATTCTTTCATTGGTTTATTTATTTTATTTTTATGATTGGTTTGTGTTGCTTTTTTCCCCCTTTAAGACTGACCTGGAGCTAATTAGAAGGTCAGTATGTTATAAAGATCCACCAAATGCATAGTGAAAAAATTCCTCTATAAAAGATGATGGCAGGCAGTCTGCTAAGAAAAGGTTATGCCTAAAAAAACATGGGGTCCATTTTTATTTTTAAGTCCTTAGAGGAAGAACACACTGATCCTTTGGAGAAAGAGCATTGTTAATAAGTGGTGATCAAGAAACAAAAGAGTTTTCTTCTTTTTTACTCAACTTGGTTATTCTCGTTCAGCCTGAGATTCCAGTTTTGTGTAATGTGATTCCAGAGACAAAGGGTTGCAAATACATAGATTTCAAGTAACTTAAGGCTTTAAGAATCCCTCTAGCTGGTATTTTCTATTTCTACTCAAAAGTTCAGATGCAGTGACAGACCATACAGGATCATCTTCCTTCTGAAGCCACCCTCTGGCATGTTTTCCAAACTAGACAAATTTCTGCTGCTAAAGCTGAAAAAGATTGCATAAAGGGAAAAAAAGGCACACAAATCGTGCAAAGCAGACCAGAATTTGTGCAGACAGCAGTCCAAATTTTAGGAAGAAAATCACTCTTTTCCCCGATGTTCAGAACCAGAAACTTCCTACTGCAAAGCTGGGCCCTGTGTCCCTGAGGAACGCAGGGCTCCCTAGAACAACTCCTCCACCAGCCGGCGCCCCCCTCAGTGCCATAGAGGCTGAAAAGTAAGCCCCTTCCTTCAGCAGAGTCAGGGCCTAAAGCTATTAAAGTGGACCCAGTATTTGCTTTGTGTGAGTACTAATTCCTCTTGCTGACAAAGCAGAGTCACACTGCAGGATTTTGCTTCTTTCATTGGACTCCTTCCCCACTTCCTCGTTACTTCTTCCCTTTTCTGCTCCTGAAGATCACATATTTTTCCATTTTAATGAAAAAACAATTAATGTCAGAATTAAATACATTGAGTAATCTTCCCTCATATGCAAGTCTTCTTAGTTTCAACAGAGTAGTCCCTCAAAGCACATGCCCAGGACAGTCTCAAGTCCCCAGCACCACACAACGTCCTAGTCCCTGCGCCTTGCAGAGGGGCTGCTTTCCTATTCACATCCAGAGCCTGTCTCCACACCTTTAGTCCAAGGAAAAGGAAGCTTTGCTTGGGTTTTCCTGGATATTTATTTGATAATTATTGGTTTCAATTGCTATTTTAAGATACTATCCTATAGATACAGAAAAGGTAAAGGGAAATAATAAATTAAAATTCCTCAATATAATTAACTAAAAAAGGCAAAGGGAATCTCTGTTCATTGTTAGACTTGTCTCATTACACTGAATTTGCTTTCCTCTAGCCACAACCACAGTCAAAGTTACTTTTCGGTCCAGAATTTTAAAGTCTGTTCAAATTACCAAATCCAATAAAAAATAAAGTACAGAAAATGCTGCATAATTCCATCTGCAGGGTTTGAATTCTTACTTCTCCCTTGGTTACCTTCTCACTTAGTTTCTTCTTTAAACTGGAGAGGTATTTTTGAGTATTAATCTGTGCAATTTTTTTTTCTTCTTTTTGCAAACTTTCTTTACCCGTGAAGACCATATGGAAAATTGGCCATTAATGATGTGTGTTTCTCCCTGGGCTCCTGAGCCCAGTGGTGTCAAGTTGCTCCATCTGATTCTTAAATTAATTTTCATCAGTTGGAAAACTCTTGAATGTGCACAAGAATGAGCCTGTCTTCTCGTGTAAATGTGTGCACAGAGAGGTTTTAAATATACACAGACACACTCTTCAACTGGCACTTAGAATTTTTGTTTTTCCACTTATTTCAGGAACCATCAGATTAATTACGTCTTGAGGGCTCTGGAGTCTTACAAATCTGTAAAACAAAAAAGGATATAAAAGAACTTTAAAATACTGAAGAATAAAAGTTCTAAGAGAGTAATTACAATAATTGAAAATGGACGCCCATCTTTACCCTCACATCTACTAGATGAAGCTACTTACTGAACTTCAACATACAACATCAGGGGTCTGACTACCATACCACATACCATTGTAGAAAGTCTATCCGTGGCTGGGCATATGTGAATGAAAACATTACCTCCCTTCTTTCACAATACACAGTTATTTCTAAAACTCTGGACCCTGAAGACTTTACCCCTTCAGAGGTCCTGGTCATTGTTTAAGGAAGCCTCTCAAAAAAGACACTAAAATGCTCATGCAAGTTATTCCAACTGCCAGTAAGTCTCAGAGCAAACCACAGCTGTTCTCTCCGATTTTAACTTGTCAACTAGCAATAAGCCCTAGAGAATCTACCTCTAGAAATCCATCCTACATTCCTTCCTTCTAGCAGCCTGAAGGGCAGGTTCTCATCACACCCTCTGCAGAGGCTGCAAGACTGTCGCTAATTTCCCCACCTGTCCCCATTCCACTTTGCCCTCAGATGACCTTTCTAAAATGCAGCATTAAATTTCCCCAGACACTGAAGGGCTTGGGCAAAGCCCAGGTGTCTGCATTTCTAACAAGTTCTCAGGAGATGTGAAATCTGCTTGTCAGAGAACCAGCTCTGAGTATCACTGGCCTAGGGGACCAAGTCCTAGCAAGATCCTGAAAACTATTTTCATAATAATATTAGGACATTCTTTGTCTTTTCCCTATGTTGATATTTGAATTGATGTTACAAAACAACAAAGGTCAAACTGCTCCCTCTAACACAAATCAAGGGAGAGGGGTACCAGCAGTCCATGTTTCTTTTTCTTTTTAAAGCTAGCTTCACTTACCAATGTTCTCAATCAATGAAAACATTTTTGTTTGTTTTGGATTTTTTGAGACAAGATCTCACTAAGTTGCCCAGCCTGGTCTCTAACTCCTGGATGCTCCTGCCTCAGCCTCCTGTAAACTGGGAATTACATTTACCTGCCCCCACACCTGGAAGCAGTAAAAAATATTATGATTAAATACTGACCCTTGAGTTCATGGTTTTTTAATATTCTTTATTCTAAAATAATACGTGCACATAAAGCACTGAAGTAATTGGTAATCTGAAGGAAAAGCACCTTTGCAATAGTTTAAGCTGCAATATGCATTTTTTTTTCACGGTACTCAGGTTTACTAAAGAGACTGAATGAGAATTATAGTTATATAATATAACTCAATCTCAGCTACTTATCAATATATAATTATAATTATTCTGGCTTCAGTATTTGACAGATATTTTCTTGAATACGAACAAAGTGAACCTATCACCTTAAGGAAAACAGATAACAAGATTTGTTGCCACATAAAAACTAAGCTTTTGAGGCCAGGGTTTTGGCTCAGTGGTAGAGCACTTGCCTAGCATGTGTGAGTCCCTGGGTTCTATCCCCAGCACCACATAAAACTAAATAAACAAAATAAAGGTATTGTTCCATCTGTAACTAAAAATATTTTTTTTTTTAAAAAAAAGGAAAGCTTTCAAATCAAAATCATAATTTTTGAAAAAATAGTACCTGTCACTATTGACAGAGCCCCCAAACTTAAAGACCTTCCTCACCCAATTGGGGGTGATACTAATAAATGTGAATTTTTTCTTCTGCATTTCTTATTTCCTTGTGTGCTCCTGTGGTTTGAATATGGCTTGTCCCCCAAAGATTCATGTGCTGGAAGCTGGTTCCCAGTGTGGCAGTCCAGAGAGGTGGTAAGATCGCTAGGAGGTGGTACCTAGTGGGAAGTGACTGGGTCATAATCACCCTTGCAGAGAAATTCACGCGGGTCTCCCGCAGTGGGTTAGATTCCCAGGAGTGGTTAAGCTCCTTTTGAGAATAGGCTGCTTGCTGTAAAGGAGAAAGCTTGGCCCCTCCCCACTTTCTCTTGCCTCACTTTCTCTTACCATGAGATCTCTCACACACACTTCTGCTATGTGATCCCAGATGCCACATTATGATGCAGCCAGCAGCCTTCATCAGAGGCCAACCAGATGGGTCTACACAATCTTGGACTTTTGGCTTACAAAACAGTGAGCTAAATAAACCTCTTTATTTTATAAAGTACTCACTCTCGGGTATTTCCTTATAGCAACACAAAATGGAATATGCCATGTCAATATTTGGAAGAGTTACATCCTTGGTAAACAAATATATTGTAAATGACCAGTGATGGTGATAAAAATTGCACCTGAGTAAAAGATTCATTGAAGGCACAAGAAACATGTGGATTTTAATATTACCAAGTATGAAAACTTCATTGATATATTTCAAAATCTATATTGTAACTAACCTTTAAGAAACTATAACTTGTTGAGTTTGGGTCTAATATCAAAGAAAAATATTCCATGATTATCTAAAAACTATTAAAATACTCCTTCCTTTTTCTATTATATATCTGCAAAATTGGATTTTCTTCACAAAACAAAAACAACATATTACAACAGATTAAATGCAGAAGCAAATATGAGGATCCAGACATCTTTAAGTCAGACATTAGAAATAACTCCCAAATGTAAAATAATACTCAAATAATTTTTATATTTTAGAAAATAGTGACTTTTCATCAAAATAGTTACATAACACTTAATGTGTTATTTTTAAATGAATTAGTAAATTTTAAAATTTTGTTTTAATATCTAATATGGTAGATATCAACAGATAGCCATATACAGGAGCTTTTTGAAGGATTCAATAACTTTTGTAAGTATAAAGGGGCCCTGTTACCAAAACGTTTGAAAACCACTGATATCTAACTTTCTTCATGTAAAATCTTAAATAATTATATTAAGATACATGGAATAAATCCCTATAGTAGTACAGGGCGTGTTGGCACACGCCCATAATCCCAGAGGCTCTGGAGGCTGAGGCAGGAAGATCGCAAGTTCAAAGCCAATCTCAGCTACTTATCAAGCCCCTCAGCAACTTAGCGAGATTCCCTGGTCTCTAAATAAAAATACAAAAAAGGACTGGGGATGTGGCTCAATGGTTAAAGTACACCTGGGTTCAATCGTTGGTACAAAAAAAAAATCATCATTAGTAAAAGCTCAAAGTGTTTCATTTTACATATATTATGATTTCTAACCAAACTTTTAAAATATCTTAAAATTATAAAGCACCATTTGTGCTAGACAAACGTAGCAGCTATTTCAAGAAAAAATAAAATGCTATCTTTTTATGACTCAAAGGAGATAATGTATACCAAAAAACTAACAAAAAAGTCACAGTCATAACATCCTCATTACTGAAAGGTTGCAGCCAACTTTAGTGCTGCCACTAATGCAAAGGAGTGATGTCGAACACTTTGCTTCCTTTTTATATATATATTTTATGTGGTGCTGAGGATCAAACCGAGGGCCCCACATGTGCTAGGCGAGTGCTCTACCGCTGAGCCACAACCCCAGCCAGCCCTCTTCGTTTTTTCTTGCCTTATTTTCTACTGAAAAAACAAAGGCAGTAAATGATTAAATAATTTCTGGGGTATAATTAAGATTGTTTACACTAGTAAGGGGGTTGATACAAAAAAATTTAAAAGCAACCAACCAATTGAAAGCAGAAACTTGGAACAGATATCTGTACACCCATGTTCACAGCACCATGACTCAGAAGAGTCAAAAAGTGGAAACAATCCAAGTGTCCCCAGACAGATAAGGGATAAACAAAATACAGTGTGTAAAATATAATGCAACGACGCAAGGGAATATTATTTAGCCTTAAAATGAAGGGAAACTCTGACA